GTCCTGGACAAGGAGAATTTTTTTTTTTTTAAACATGACACAAGTTCTTCTTGTGACTCATAGCATGAGATGAAACCAGATGACCTCTCACACTGTTCTTGATTTTATTTCATTGTTTTGTTATTAGCGTTGTCCTAAATGGTAGATATAAATATAATCTCTCAAGTGTTTCCTTAAGCAGTCAAAATAAAATCTTTAACCCCTGTATTTACATGACAAATGTGAAGATACCTACACGCAGAAATATAATCATTCTGGAACAGTAGGAGTCTTTTCATTTTCCACTTGCTGACTCTACGGCGATAAATGAAAACTGCAAACCATAGATGTTGAAATGTCAAGGCTAAAATGTCACAGAAACATCAAGTTTGGGAACTTGCCTCTGCTGTTCCAAGTCATGTAATGATATGGCCATTGGTGCTTCTTTAGCAACGTGCATGTGACCTTACACTGCGGGACGTCAGGCCGTGCCGTAACACTTCCTGTCACAGTCCTTGAGTCAATCTTCATGCCCACACAGTGAACCACATTTCTATTTCATTCCTGAATTCACACAGGTAAGTAGGTTGACATGTGCTCTACCAGGAGAGACATTCTCAAATGACTCCCAAGTCCATTAATCTCATTGCTCTGTTTTATTTTCTTAGCAACTATATAATTCCTTGCCTACCACCCTTCATTGCTTATTAACTAAACAAACAAACAAAACGTACTAGAAAAAAGGCAAGAATCAGGCTATTATTGGTCAGTGATCATTCAGTTACTTCTTCATGTTTCAATATCCTACTTTGTAAAATGAAATATAGTCACGTCTGGCTGGACTACACCGATGGCCAGTGGAGAAATACAACCTGTGAGAGCGCTTCAAGAGCTCTGGGAGATAAGCATGGTACAAAGTAAGACAACGAATACGACACATAAACCACTAGATGAAAAAAGCACTACTGGACACTACATGATAGGCTGTTTCCTGTTCCCTCAATGCCATCTGACTTTAAAATATCCTGCAGTTCCACGAGGGTCAAAGTGTGTGTCCATACCGCCAAGTGCAACATTCCCCAGGATCCCATGTTACAGGGAAACGTGAAGGGGTGTAATCCACCCCTAAGAAACAACTTTCATTTCTCTGTCTGCCTCCCTCTCAGGCTATAAATTATGATACTTGGTGTGAACACAAAGCTTCACTTGTTTTACCACAAATACTCAGATATGTAGGTGGACTCATTTGACCAAGAAATGTCATCAAAGTTCAGATCTGCTGATCCCGTAACATGAAACTTTTACACTTGACCTTAGCCAAAAGGCCCAGAAGCAAATATAACATGAACCTTCTTTCCAAATGCCTCTCCCTCAATACAGTGTGAAGCATTTTTCTTACCTAAAAGTAAACTGCATCACTAAAAAACGTTAATTGCATAGGAATTGAGAGCAGGCAGGCTAAAGGGAGTAAAGATGCAGCAGGAGGGGAGGAGATAGAGGGAGGCCACTTAACAAGTACGCAAGCACAGTCAGACGAGGGGGTTGAGTCCTCCTGTTACACACCACAGTTGGGAGACTGAAGTTTACAATTCATTATATATTTTATAAAGGGCTGGAAGAGAGGAGTTCTAAGGTTCCCAACACAAGGAAATGAGAAATGTTGTAAGACATGAAAATGATGATCACTCTGAGATGCATCAAATTATCACACTGTACTTTATAAATACATATAGAATCAAAAATAAATAAGACCTGGGCCAACACTGCGGTGTAGTGGGCAAAGCTGCGCAGCATCTGCTATGGGATATGTGTGCTCCCTGAGAACAACCTGGGAAAGGCAGCAAAAGGTATCTAAGTGCTTGGGTCTCTGCCACCCGTGTGGGAAACAGCGAAGAAGCTCCTGCTTCCCGGCTTTGGCCCCCGGCCCAGCTCTGGCCACAACGACCATTTGCAGAGTGAATCTGAGGATGAAAAAATTTCTTTCTCTCTCCTCTCTCTCTCTGTAACTCTGATCTTGAAGTAGATAAACCTAAAAAAAAGGAAAGTCAGGGCAGGTATTTGCTGCTGTGGTTAAAATACTACCTGGGGTTCCCTGCATCTTATATTGAAGCACCTGGTGTCAAATCCCAGTTGTGCTCCCATCTCTAGCCTCTTTCTCATGCACCTCTAGAGAAGTAGCAGGTGACAGCTCAAGTCCTTAGGTCCCTGCCACCCATATAGGGGACCCAGATGAGGCTCTGGCTTCTAGTTTTGGCCTGATCCAGCACTAGCTCTTGGTGGCATTTGGGAAATGAACTAATGGATGAATCTCTCTGTGGTTGTCTCTTCTTGTCTTTCTCTCAGCCTTTGCCATCAAAATTAACCCATAAATAAGCAAGACAAAATTAAGCCAGAAAACTACAGGTAAATAGCAAACTCCCACCTGCTAAAAGTGTATCGAGGATGCACATTATCAAAGCTGCTCTACTGGGCCGTGGGGAAGCCACAAGGAAAATTGGTCAGTTCTTGCCCTCCACGAGCCCTTGACAAGACCCATGTTCTTGATTCGGACCTTGGCCAGGTTAACTTCTCAGAACAGAGATTGTGGTGTTGACCTTAGTTGCAGATTGACCAAATGAGCAAACAGAAGAATGAAAGTTCTAGTGAAGATGTTTCCTGCTCTCATCCAACCTGAAGGAATTATTGCCAGCTCTTCACAGTCTGATCCCAGCTGTTTATGTAAGAGGGAGGGAAGAAAAGTCCATCCTAGAAACAGGTTGGACCGCCAGGGGGACACATGGAAAGCGGAGACAAAGAGGTTGGGAAAGAGGGGTGTGGATGGGAGAACAGCAGTGCCTAGAAGGAATCAGTGAAAACAGAATTCCTACGAGAAACCTAGGGAGAATTCAATTGATCCTCAGCCATCAGAATAAAACAGACAACAGACTTTGAAAAGAAGTGAAAATTAAATCAGTTCAAGATCAGGAAGGGGAAAAAATACTTTGGTCTCCAGCAAGTGCCAGTTCACTTCAGCCAAAGCTTGAAACCTTAAGAATACTCCAAGGACTTACCGAGCATGTTATTTGGAGGGTGAAGAGTATGAACAACATGTAGCCAAGATCCTGGGTGCACCTGTTACCTTCATACTTGTGGCAGCTGATCTCACGCTCTTTGACCTTGGAAACTCATGGTACTCAATTATCAACAACCCCAAAGAGTCAGAGAGAGATCTTCCATTTCCTGGTTCACTCCCCAAATGCCCACAAGAGCCAGTGCTGGGCGAGGAGGAAGCTGGGAGCCTGAAACTCCATGCAGTCTTCTTCAGGAGGGCTAGGGGCCTGAGCATTTGAGTCTTAAACCACTGCCTCCAAGGGCACAACAGCAAGAAGCTGGACTGGAAGCGAAGGAGCCAGGACGGGGTGGGATTGACCCTAGTAGTGGCTTAGCCCATTGCGCTACGTGTGAATTATATCTAATGACAGTTATCATATACGAAAACTGGGAGATTATAAGCCATTATTTCAAATCAAGACAATAATGTACACTTTTTGTTTTCACATTGGCTAAAAGGAAAGTTCATTTCAAAGTAATTATCTCTTTAACAATAATGAGGGTTACAGCTCTCCCGGTAGATAAAAGCACAGAAATACTGAGAACAAATTTCTATAAACCTACACAAATTTCTATGTCAACATATATTCTGATATTTTAAGCCTACATAGAAAATTCTAGAAAACACAGCATACACAAACAAGCATTCTATTAACAGAGTGATGACATTCTTACACATTAAAAAAAAAATCCTTTGGAAATTTCCACTGTACACTCTTGAGAGAATGAAAGTGAAAATGGCAAATCACAGCTTGTCACTAGGGAAATAGTTTTGATCCTGGAGACCCCTTGAAAGGATCTCGGAGACATCTCAGGACCACCATTTGAGAATCGGTGAATTCATTTTTTTAAGCTCATTTCCCACTTCATGTTTGAGTGACTTTTCTCTGAAAAGTGTTTTTGCTCTGGTTTCTTTAACGTTAGTTGCCCAAGGTAACCACAAGACTCCAAAGCAGAAGTGAAAACCGTCGGACGCGCACCCACGTAGCTTTCCTGAGCAGTGAAAACTGAAACGGTTGCCTGAATTCCCTGAGAACCCGGGATCCAAAGACAAGTTCAAAAGCAACCCGCCACCCGCGCCGCCAAGGCGGGGCCAGAACTGGCGACGGACGGCGGGATTCGCCCTGGGCTGGGGACCGAAGCTGCGCCCGCCGCGGAAGCTCTGCGCGCGTTCCCAGGAGCCCGCCGCCCGCCCGCTACAGGTAGGCGGGGTCCCGGGGAGGAGCGCCGACAGGTGAGTCCAGGTAGTCGCTTCCTCCCTTTCGCGTTGTCTGCCCGGGGACGCCAAGGCAGCAGACCAAGGCAGACGCTCGCCCGGCTCGCGTTCCCCTGGCGCCCCTCTGCGGACCCTAGGCGCTGGCTGAGGACATCCCCATCCGCAAAGAGCTAGGCCCGAAGTGTCGCCGAGATTTGGGGGGGGCGGCAGAGAACTGAGGGCCCGGCGGCGGCAGGAACCAACTAAACAACAACAGGGCTCCGGCCCGGGGTCTGCTGGAACATGTGCCGGGGGACACAGGTGCGGGGCCCTGGCGCGGGGTTGGGTTACCACGAAGTGGATTCGGGGGCTGGGCACCCGCGGACAGGATCCGGTTCGGACGTAGCCTGGGGGTTGCTCGCGGTGACAGGTGCTTGTCCTTTGGACCCTGCCAGAGTCCAGGGGTACGGCTTTTATGCCCAGGCGCTTTCGCGGGGCGGGGGGAGGGGGAGAGGACCACTTTCTCAGCGTGCGTCCGGCCTGGGCGACCGAAACCGCGCGCCGGGTGCAGTTGCGCGTTGGCTTAGAGAACAATGGGTCGGTGACTCAATTCCCACAGAAACTTGGAGAGCTGCGCCAGGGGCTTTTTTTTTTTTTTTTTTTTTTAACGTGCTCTGTTTGCTTGTTTGCTTTTTTTGTTTTGTTTTGTTTTAGTTTGTTTGACAGGTGCCAGAGTATGTTTGCGCTCCTGATTCTTCTCAGCCACCTGCCCACAGTTACCTTCGCGTTTCCTCATTGCACAAGAAGCCTTCAGGATTCCGGGCATGCCAGAGAGGAAGGTAAGCAGGCTTCAGTGTCCAACAAAACCGTGCTGGAAGCCAAAGCCACCTGTCGCAGATCACCATGGAGACAGAAGCCCTAAAGCTCATAGAAGCTCCAAAGCATCCCTTGATTTAATGTATGTTTATTTGGTGATGTTGTGGGCTTTGGTGTTCTTTAGATACAGAGGTATACACAACTTTATTTATTTTTAAAGATATGTGTGTTTTTTATTTGGAAGACAGATTTTTGGGCCTAGCACGGTAGCCTAACAGTTAAAGTCCTCACCCTGCATGCATCGGGATCCCATATAGGTGCCAGTTCGAGTCCTGGTGACAACACATTCCATCCAGCTCCCTGCTTGTGGCCTGGGAAAGCAGTTGAGGACGGCCCAAAGCCTTGGGACCCTGCACCTGCATAGGAGACCCAGAGGAAGCCCCTGCCAAAGCTGAGCTGTTCCAAAGCTGGGAGCCAGGAGCTTCTTCCCAGCCTCCCACATGCGTGCAGGGGTACAAGATCTCTGGACATCCTTCACTACTTTCCCAAACTGTCAGCAGAGAGCTGGATCAGAAATGGAGCAGCCAGGACTCGAACCCATAGCTATATGGGATGACAGGTACTTGCAGGTGGAGGATTGGCCTACTATACCATCACCCTGCCCCCAAATTTATTTCTGTGAATTTCCATTGGCAAGCTTGGTTTGTAGTTAACTGAATGGAAAACTAGTAGGATCAAGAATGATTTGGACTATTTTGATTTCAGGAAATCATTGACTTTTTGTAGATGCAGTTATGTGGTGACTATAATGACAAATGATCTGTTCTTCTTGGAGAGACACACAGGGGCGCCAGGATCTAGTCTGGACTTTTGAGACCATGGGCCAGATGTTTCATTCATCCCTTTGTGTTCTAACATCTTCATCAGTAAAATTATGGGTGTGGGACTGAAATGATCCCCGAAGCCCGTTTGTTTAGACAGATTCTAGATAAGCACAGATGGTTGAGAAATTGGGCTTTGGGCTTCCAAACCCAAACTGCACATGTTTTAAATTTCAAGTCATAAACAGATTCTAGATCTTAGCTACAGTACATTACTTTTTTTTTTTTAAGCGTTCTTTATTTCAAAGACAGAAGGACAGCTTCCTTCTGCTGGTTCACTTCCCCAGTGCCTGCAACGACAAGGACTGGATCAGGCTGGTAGAAAAGCTAGGCGCCTAGAACTCCATCTGGGGCTGCCTCCTGGGGGACCAGTGCTTGGGCTGTCTTCCACTGTCTTCCCAGGCACATCAGCAGAAAGCATGGAGCAATGAAGACTCTCACCAAGTGCTAGGGTAGACAGGTATCCTGGGCAGGTTAACCTGCTGCATCACAGCACTCACTCCTTGCCTACATTTTAAAAAGCTAACCTAGCAAAACCAGAAAGGACATCAGATAAGTATCAATGACATTTGAGGATGGACTTGAAATGAATTTTAAAAGGAACTTGGGAAAGATAAGCTAGAAGAGAGAAGCAAACAGGACTGTCTGGGTTGAGTGGATTTGTAGCAGTGGAGTGCACAGACAGCCGCTCTGCAGAATCTACAGGAAAACAGAGAAGGGCAGAAAAGCCATGTGTCCAGTATGCAGGCTGCCCCATCCTGCAGCCATGCCGAAGGGAAACAGAGGATCCCTGGCTAGGAGCTGAGTTTGCTCCACGTACAGGGAAGTGTGCTTGTTTTTCATCAGAAGCAAATCCAGAGTTACTTAAAATCCAAGTATTAAATTGTTTCTCCTAAGGCCATTGGGGAGGCAAGAAAAAATGAATCTGGCTCTGAAGGTTAAGTCTAATACCAGCAACCAACGGGATCAGAACATGCACACTCAGAGAACAACCCCCTACTCTCTTAGAGTTTTCTTAACAAACAAAAGACCTGTCTAATGTAGCACTAATCATAATATTATGACTTCTCAGAAACACCGTATTAATACTGGCATACATACTTGAGAAAAATTTAAGTGATCATCTCTTTTTGTTTTACTCTATTTTATAAAAACAGTATTTACTTATTTAATTTGGAAAGTCAGAATTATAGACAAAGAGAGAAAGAGAGATAGTCCATCCTCCGGTTCATTCTTCAAATGGCCACAACAGCCAGGACTAAGCTGATCCAAAGCCGGGAGCTGGGAGCTTCTTCTGGATCCCCCATGTGGGTGCAGGGACCCAAGGCTTTGGGCCATCCTCAACTGCTTTCCCAGGCCATAGGCAGGTTGCTAGGTTAGGAACTGGAGTAGCTGGGACTTGAACTGGCGCCTATATGTGATGCCAGCACTATAGGCAGAGGATTAGCCTGATACACCACCATGCCAGCCTCTGTCATTTCTTTTTATTTTCCTTTTTACTTTATGTAACAGTAGCGTTATTAGGTCCCATGGCAATAATTCATATAGCCTGCCTCAACAGAAAAGACTGACATTGATATATCCGCCCCTGGTTTAATAGCCAATGAAACGTAAAGAGCTGGGCTTCTCTGAGCGGAAGCACTATATAGGCATTTTCTCATTCTCCATTCTGAAGTGAGACTTCAGGCACGTCATTGGTTTCTTTCTTCAGATTTATACCAGGCCAGGTAGCACCAGGCCATGCACTTGAATTGCTTCAACTGGTACAATGTAGGTTCCTGAATTTCTTTCTACCCATAGAAAAACGGAATGTATTCATTCATTCAGTAACTTTTTGAGTGATGTTTATTTGCCAAATACCAATACCCCTGCTTTAGAGAGAGGGTTTCCTTCTAGTTAGGGAAAAGGAGTAATAACAAATGAGTAAGCAAGGCATGTAGGACACCAAGCGGTGATAAAGTGCTGTGGAGAGAAGCGTGGTATGGAAGGGGAGTGCCTGAGGTGGTAAATGGGAGTAGGGAGGGGCTTCAATGCAATGGTGAATAAACTGCTGCAGGAGGTGAGAGGCCAAAATGAGAGGTGATATTCTGAGGAAACAGCAAGTAGAAGGACAAATGAGAACCGGTTGTGTTAGAACTCCTTGGGGTGTAGCCACAACAGAAGACATGAGGGGTGGACTTGGTAGCACAACAGTTTAAGCCACTGTTTGGGACACCCACATTCTATATGGAAGTGCTGGGCTGGAGCTCCCTACACTCTGCACCTGCAATCCCGTTTCCTGCTAATGCACCCAGGAGGCTGCAGGTGATGGCCCAAGTACCTGGGTCCTGCCATCCTTGGGAGAGACCAGGAGAGAATTCTGAGATCCGAGCTTAGCCTGGCGCAGCCCTGCCTGCTGCGTGCACTGGGAGAGTAAGCCAGTAGATGAAACATCTCCCTCTGTCTCTCTCCGACTTTTCTCCTCTCTGCCGCTCTTCCTTTCAAATAAATAAATCTTTTTAAAAAAGTGAGATGTTGTAGGAGTTGAAGTCAGAAGGGTAAGGATTCAGGGAGTACATCATACAGGCCTGTGTGGTCAATTGTAAGGAAATTAGCTCTTATTCTATAAGAGGTGAGATTGCTATTTGAAGGCTTTTAAAAAGTAAAATGGGGGGAGCTGGTGCGGTAGCCTAGTGGCTAAAGTCCTTGCCTTGCACACACCAGTATCCCACTTCCCATCCAGGTCCCTGCTTGTGGTCTGGGAAAGCAGTTGAGGATGGCCTAAAGCCTTGGGACCCTGCACCCACATGGGAGACCCAGAAGAGGCTCTTGGCTCCTGGCTTCAGATCAGCTCAGCTCTGACCATTGCTTGGGAAATGAATCAGTGGATGGAAGATCTTTCTCTCTGTCTCTCCTCCTCTCTGTATATCTGACTTTCCAAAATAATAATAATGATAAGTAATCTTTTTAAAAATAAGTAAAAAAGCAAAGAGGTAAAAAGTAGTAACAAAGTCTGTTTTTCCTTTTTATTTAGTCTCTGGCTAAAAAATAGACTGTGAGGGAGCAAGGGAAGCAGTTGGAAGGTCCCTGCAGGGATCCCAGTGAGGGATGACGGAGACTTGAAAAACCGTCCCTTTCCTTTTATCCATTGGCATCCAAAATCCCCAAGAAGACAGAGCAGGAGCAGAAGCGCTCCAACTCTCGGGTCCTTCTAGAATACTTCTTGAAAAAAAGTATCTCCAATAATCCCTTTCTAGCATCACCCTGCGTTTGTATAGCTGACCTCATTGCACTGTAGAAGTGGATATTAGGATAGTGTTGGCTGACAGAAACATAATGGGAACCATGTAAATAATTTAAACCTTTCTAATAGCCTCCTTCTTATTAATATTCTTAAAGATTCTCCTCCTGCCCTCTTAGGGTTTTCTTTTCTTTTTAAATTTTGGTTTACTTAGTTCTTAGATGGAAAGAGCACCCATCTACTGGCTCACTTCACAGATGTCCAGGAACTGGAAACTCAGTCCAAGTCTCCCAGGCAGGAAGCAGCGAATCAACGGTTTGACCCATCACTGTTCCCACCCAAGGAGCTCACTAGCAGGAAGCTGGAATTGGGAGCTGAGCCAGAACTACAACCCAGACACTCAAAATCGGGACACAGATGTCCAGCAGGTGGCTCGACCACCCAACCCAGGCATATATTTAAAAATAGAAAGAAATCAATGAAATGTGTTTTAATAATGTATTGAATTGAACCAAATTTCTCAAATGTAAGTAATTTTTGGAATCCTGTGTATTCCACACTTAAGGCATGTTTTAGCTCAGACTGGCTACATTTCAAGGGCTCAATAACTCCACATCTGAAACAAACCAGAAAGAGCCTTAGAAGACTCAGGTTGCTGGAAAAGATAGGTAGTTCATAGCAAAATATCTTGGACAAGATGTGACTATACCTATAGTTTTAGTAACTTTTATATTTAGAATTATATGCATTTTAGTGTGAATTGAGTAAAACAACTTTAATATAAAAATACTGATTTATAATTTTAGAACTTTAAAGAGTTTAGTTATTAAGTACAACTCTCAATTTTACAGATGAGTGTGTGACTCATTGCAGAACACACAGCTGAAAGCTTATTCCAAAGCAAAATCAAAAATGGATATTTTTTCTAAACCTCTATATTATGCTCCCATAATTTTTCCTAAGCAAGGTAATAGCAAACCCAATCCCTTAGAAATGGAGTCTGCCTGGCCTATCATTTGTTGGAAAAAAATGATTGTCTAGAAAGAAAACTGATGTTCATATAACTTACCTTTATGTTAATAATTTTGGACATATGCGCCAACATTGCGGCACATCAAGTTAAGAGGCTGTTTTTAACACTAGCATGCCACATCCAAGAAATAGTTCAAATCCCAGATGCTCTGATTCCCATCCAGCTTCCTGTTAATGTTCCTGGGAAGGTGCAGATGATGGTAATGACCTAACTGTGTGGGCCCCTGCCCCTGTCATGGGAGATCTGGAAGGGATTTCAGGCTCCTGGGTTTGGCCTGGACCAACCCTGACCATTGTGGCCATCTGAGGAATGAACTAGCAGTTGGAAGATCTCTCTTTTCTCTCTCTCTCTCTCTCTCTCCTCCTCTCTCCCTCTCTCTCCCTGTCTCTTTGCCTTTCAAATCAATAAATTTTTCAAGAACAATTTTAGATATAATCAACTGAAATCTTTTCTGAAATTACATTAACTTTTGTGTATCATATTCTCTGACTTTTTTTAAGTTCAGTACTCAAATGCCCACAGTGATCAGGTTAGCACTGGGACCAGAGGCAGGAGCCAGGAACACAACCTAGATTTCCTACATAGGTGATAGGACCCTAATTACATGAGCCACCATGGCTGACATCAGAGGAAGTCAGCAAACACAGACTCTCCATTGTGGGAAGTGGGCATCTTAACCACTGGGCCAAATGCCTGCTACCATCAGAAGTCATTGGTTCTGATGCTATATTTTTAAAACATGCAAGAAATTTTGGCATAATGTTACCACATGAAGAGAGCTGTTCACTTTCCCCACAATTAAAGCAGGATTTCGCTGCCTTACTTTTTCTTTTTCTTTTTTTAATCAGTACTTGACATCTTTTTTTTATTTCCTTGTTAGTCTTTACGTCAAAAGAAGAAGCAAACTTTTTCATTCGCCGACGCCTCCTGTATAACAGATTTGACCTGGAGCTCTTCACTCCTGGCGACCTGGAAAGGGAATGCAATGAAGAACTTTGTAATTATGAGGAAGCCAGAGAGATCTTTGTGGATGAAGATAAAACGGTAATTTGGTTGATTGTGTTAATTAGCTGGAATTTATTAGATTGTACTTAAGAAAGTGGGATTCTCAGTTATTATATATTTTATGCTTTAACAAGATCAAGGCTGTGTACATGTTATCTTCTACTTAAAATGCTAATTGAACCACTTAGACTTGGCTTTATACTTAATTAGGTGGACATATAGTAATTAGAAAATGATTGACTATGTTGTGATTTTGTGTTAATGTTTATTATATACAAAAACAATCACAGAGCAGAGTTAAGCTTTGAGATATTCAAGTTAATGCTCTGACTCACGATTCAATCGTTAAACCTCGGCAATTTCTCCTACCAGTGAAAGTAACTTATGATTAGTCATATTGATATTTCAAATACTCTCTCTCTCTTATCTTTTTGAGGGAGAGAGAGATCTTTCATTTGCTGATTCTCCAAGTGGCCTGAACAGCTGGGGGCAGGCCCGGTGGAAGCCAGAGCCAGGAGCTTCATCCAAATCTACGAGGGTGCAGGCCCATCCTTCACTGCCCTCTCAGGGACATTAGCAGGACTGGAAGTGGAGCAGCCATGACTCAAACCAGCTCTCATATGGGTGCTGACCCTGTAGGCAGCAGGTGACTTAACCCGTCACAGCACATTACCTCTCAAATATTTATTAAAGGTTGTGTACCAGATGTTATGCTAGATACTGAAGATACAATGTATAAATCCCCTGTATTGTTTGATCTGGATGATAGAAGGGGAAAAATTCTAGAAGTTTCCGGAATTTTTCCTCTTCAATATTAGTAGGGCTTGTCTGTTGATCTTGATAGGAATACAAAACAGGGCCAAGATTTGTGATGCAGCAGGCTCGGTGGCTACCTGTGACAATAACACCCTAAATCTCTGGTTCAAGTCCCTGCTGCTCCACTTCCAATCAAGCTTCCTTATAGTGCACCTGAGAAAGCAATGAAACATGGTCCAAGTTCCTGGGCTCCTGTACCCATGTGGGAGACCCAGGAGAAACTCCTGGCTCTTAGCTTCAGCATTGCACAACTCTGGCCATTGAGGACATCTGAGAAGCGAACCAGCAGGTGGGAAATCTCTTTGTGCAACTCTGCATTTCAAATAAGTAAAACTAAAAATCTTTAAAATAATAATAAAGAATTTTTCAAGCAACCGGTAACAGTGTAACTACTATAATCTGGTATGTTAAGTGGACCAAATTCCTTACTAAATAACCCCCAATTATTTTCCACTTTCTCAAGCATCCTCTGGCACAATCTTCAGCTGTCTAAAGAGATACGATTGCCCTGTTGCCAGAACGGGAGCTCCTCTCAGGAGAAGGGAGAACAGTAGGACACGGTCTTAGAGCTAGGATTGGCAACAATCCCTTAACATCAGTTAAGCAAAAACAGTAGTAGGTAGTTGCGCCTTAATTAGGTGAATCACCTCCTTGAGCTTGAGAGGAGTGCTGTCCTACCCACAGCCCAGTCCAAGGGTTTACCGTCCCTCGTCTGGTCATTTGGGTACAGGCAATGACAAATCCCATAAATTCGAAAAATTTCTCTTTTTCTTAGATGACATTTTGGCAGGAATATTCAATTAAAGGACCATCCACAAAATCAGGTAAGGCAAGAACTGATAACATTGAATGCTTTTCTTACCCTCTCTTGTAATATGTATTAGTTGTATTGTTTGAGTTTGGCTGTTGCTCAACATCCATGCCTTGTAAATCCCTGCAAGATTTCTCAAGTGTACACTGAGCTACCTGAGAGGGCCACCTTCGTCTACTTAGACATGGAAAATCAAGTTTGGTGAGATACTAGAGAAATGAGATAACAGGCTTAAAGCTGCTTTCAACAACCCAGGTCGGTCAAGGCTTGCACACAGCGAAAGCACGAGGGTGTTGGCTTCAAGTGGGAAACTATTTTGACCTTTTTTTTCCTCTTTTTCCATCCTACATAGGTGAAATGCTTTCATATTAACGTTGTTAGATAGAATTGCAGAAGTTGTGGAGAAATGAGATCCTTTATCAGTTTTGATCATCTCTTGCAGCATTTTTTGAAACTTTTTAATTGATAGAATAGTTTTTCATGTGTATGGGATTTAAAGTCATTTTTTTTTTAAAGTTATGCCTATTTGTTTGAAAGCCTCTCTTTCTCTCTCACCTACGCTTACTCTTCTAGTTGCTTTTAAGTCAGGTCATGCTTTGCCAGCTTTTATTTCATTCCTCTTAGTTGGGGTCCTTGAGAGGAGTCCATGCTAAACAACTATACCATGTTGCATAATAAATGTATCTTAATATTTGATATCAAATACACCTAATGAAGCAAAAAATATACTTATCCCACTTGGTGTTGAATATTATCCCTTTAAAATGACCTATTGAAGATAAATAAAAGAACTAATAATTAACTAGATTCTCTAGCACAAAGACTTTTGGAAAGAAATCAATATTTTTATTAACATGCTTAATAGTGCCGGTTATTATATTTATATTTCTGTTCTTTTAATCATTTCCCTCAGATAACAGAGAGAAAATGGATGTTATGGGGCTTCTGACTGGATTAATTGCTGCTGGAGTGTTTCTCGTTATTTTTGGATTACTTGGTTATTATCTTTGCATCACTAAGTGCAATAGGCATCAACACTCAGGGTAAGTACCAAGTAAAAGAACCTAATTCATTATTACATGTTCTGAATTGTTATTTTAGTCGATCAATCAAGTCGCTGCCTTTAAAAAAAGAAAAAAAGGATGTTTTTATTTGAAAAGCAGATTTACAAAGAGGAAAGACAGAGAGAGAGGAATCTTCTGTCCATTGGTTTAGTCCCTAAATAGCTGCAACAGCTGGAGCTGAGCTGATCTAAATCCAGGAGCCAGGAGCTTCTTCTGGGTTTCCCACACAGATGCAGGGGCCCCAGGACCTGAGCTGTCCTCTGCTACCTTCCTACGTCAGGATCAGGAAGTTGAAGCAGCTGGGACTGGAACCAGCACCTATATAGGTTGCCAGTGCTGCAGGTGGAAACTTAGCTTACTACACAACAGTGCTGGCCCCAAATGGGTGCCAATTTTTTTAGAAGAGGGAAAATTTCAGATATAATCAAAGATGGCATAGATAGTAAAGAGTTCCCCTATATCCTTGATCCATCATTAGCATCATTAGTGTATTTGTCATAAACAAAACAATACTGCTGCTGCATTGCTGGTAACTAAGCCCCAGCCTGATTACTCCCGGTTGGCCATGCTTGCCTTCCTTCTGCTCCAGACACGGCACCTCACTGCATCTGGTTGCCAAGTCCTCTCTGGCACTTCAGTCTGTGCATGGTGTTTGGCCCCTTGGTTTAAAATGTTAACATGTTGATAATGAAATTATGCAATTTCTAAGGTCCTGCACAAGCCCAGAAGAAGTTTCAGAGCTGACAGTTGGGGTTTCAGTATCTCCTTCTTGAGTAGGCAGCAGATAAGCAGTGTGCTCACATCATCTTCAGAGGCGAGAAGTCCTCTGCTTTACTGTGAATCAGTTAACAACTTTCTGTAGCTGCCTAAATAGAAGCCATAGAGCTACTTTTGAAATTAAACTTTCTTAAGTTAGATAAGAGTAACAAATCTAATCAACAATAATATCCTGTGACCTAAAGCTCATCACAATTATTCATAAAGGCTGTAATTATTTGCATGAAAGTATTCTGCATCCTTTTTAGAGAAAATAGTACTGATTACCTGGTCTTCCTAGTACAGAAGAGGAAGATCTTCCATTTGCTGATTCACTCTCTAAGTGGCCACAACGGCCGGTGCTGAGCTAATCAGAAGCAAGGGAGCCAAGAGCCTCCTCTGGGTATCCCACGTGGGTACAGGGTCCTAAGTCCTTGGGCTGTCCTTGACTGCTTTCCCAGGCCACAAGCAGGAAGCTGGGTGAGAAGTGGGGCCGTTGAGATTAGAACTGGTGTCCATAAGGGATCCTGGTGTGTGCAAGGTAAGGACTTTAGCTGCTAAGCTGGCACGCCAGGCCCTATACATTGATTTTTATGTATCTATTCTTACTTTCAAGTTCCATCAACAAGTTCATCATAAAGACAAAGTGTTTTTTTAGTGATAACTTCATCTTTTGATTCTTCTTTTCTGCCAAATGGGCAGTTGCTCTGGCATCCTTCTAATGGAATTAAAACATATAACATATTCTGTATCATATATATTAGAGAATTTTTGTATTGAGACAAATTAAAGTCTTGCAAATCCAGAGCAGGTTAACATGCTGGCTCAAGCACCCTCATTCCACAGCAAAAAGCCTATGACTGAGTCTCACCTCCACTTACCATCCAGCTTCCTGCCAATGCACTAAGAAAATAGCAGGTGATAGCCTGAGTGCTTGGGTCTTAGCAACCTTGTGGGAGGCCTGCATGGAGTTCTTTCACTTCTAGGCAAAATGCCCATCCCTAAACAGAAACTTCTACATGTGTATGTGTGAGTGTGTGTCAATGAAATCAACAAATATAAGAGATTTTTCTCTAAAGTGTTTTCTTTTAAAGGTGTGAAGTAAGTTATTTCATCTTATTTGCTATGAGTCATCTGATCATTTCCATTGCTACAAGAGTGTCTGAAAATGTGTTGATAAGGTGATGAGAGCCGATTAAATAGAAAGTTTTATCCTATTTTGTTGCTAGAGAAATAACATACACATTGAAAAACAGTCAAATACTATAGATAGATACAACAAAAATGAAAATCCCTGTGCTCTCACTTTTCAGAAATAATCACCGTAGTAAGTTTGATATATCTAACTCCAGATTTTTCCTATGCATATACTATCATAGTTTAGGCTTTTAAAAAGAATATTGTTGTGCAATTAATCTCTAGCTTTCCCTCTCTTTATCTTGCAAAAGGAAAGCTCTCCATAGAGGTAAATAACTCTGCATTGTCCCCTCCCCCACAGCTTGGGAACTGCCATTGTACTTTTCGGCTCTATGAATTTTACTGCTCTGGAACCTCTTATAAGCACAATCTTACAGTATTTGTCTATTTTTACTGGTTGCTCCAATGCAGTGCTTTTAGTTTTGTTTATTTATTTGACAGGCTGAGAGAAAGATGGAGCACTCTTACCCACGGGCTCACTCCCCAAGTACCCTCAGTAGCTGGGCTGGGTTGGAGCTAAAGCTGAGACCCAGGAACACTACCCAGGTTTCCCATGTTGGTAGCCATACTTTCAACCGAGAGAGTCTCTTCAAAACATTTTATTGCAACATTTTATTTCCATTTGCTAAAGTGTTTTTGTTTTATCCTACAATATAGTGAGATGTGATTTCCTTTCTCAAGTACATTCATCTTACCCTGGTACTGCTTCTAGCAGAGACCAAGAAGTATTCTCTCCATCCCAGACACACTTGTTACAATTGAGGATGTGAGCTCTGGGACCAGACTTCCTGGGTTCAAATCCCTGGGTTACCAGTATCATTAAACTTTAGACAGGCATTGTGACATTCCAGGCTAACGAAGCTACTACATGGGATGCCTACACACCATATGGGAGTGCCTACTTTGAGTAATGGCTGCTCTACTTCCAATCCAACTTCCTACTAATGGGCACCCCGAGAGGCAGCAAGTACTCAAGTACCTCAGTCTTAGCTCTCCATGTAGGAGACGTAGGTGCATTTGGGGACTCCTGGCTTTGACCTAGCCCAGTCCCGGTCATTTAGGCATTTAGGAGTGAAGTAACATAAATAAATTTATAAACATCGAAGTGAAAATTTCGGACATGTTGCTGAAAGTCATACCCTGCCTCAGTTTTCCCTTAAGTAAACAGGAAAATAATCAGAGACACTACATTAGATAGGCCTGAGGAATACCATTTATATGGTTCATGATACGGTGCATGTGGTAGCCTAGATAATAACCGTGTGTATCTGCTAAGGAAATTGTGACATTTAAATGATGTTAATACATAGGAAATGGTTAAAGTCATGCTTGATATAGAGCAAGTACTCAACAGAAGTCAGCTGTTATTAACTTGCAAACTAAGATTATTCCTAAAACCTTACAAAAGAATGTGTATGTTTTCCCATCCAGTGGTGATCGCTCTCTCTCCATTTTTTAAGATTTATTTATTTTTATTGGAAAGTCAGATTTACAGGGAGAAAAAGAGACAAAGCTCTTCCACCTACTGGTTCACTCCCCTAGCAGCCACAATGGCCAGAGGTGAACTGATCCCAAGCCAGGAGCCTCTTCCAGGTCTCTCATGCAGATGCAGGGTCCCAAGACTTTGGGCCATCCTAAACTTCTTACCCAACTCACAAGCAAGGAACTGGAAAGGCAGTGGAGCAGCCAGGATACAAACCAGCACCCACATGGGCTCCCTGGGCATGCAAGGCAAGGACTCCAGCAGTTAGGCTACTGCACCGAGCTCAATGTCTCTTTAAAAATGAACCTAGGCAGAAAAATAGCTACAGGTTGTCTAGCATTCATGTAGAATTGAAGCCTGAAGATAAGTTATGTTCAAATTTGATAGATACACAAATATTTTATTTTGCTTATGAAACCTTCCTGATTCATACTTACAATTGTCTTCTCCACCCCTTGTTGCTGCTAACTAAATGCCTGATTTTAAAAAGAATAAAGGAATTGAACTGACATTTCTTCAAAAAAGATGCACAAATGTCCGATAAGTACCTTAAAAGATTCTTAATACCCTTACTCATGAGAGAAACAAACCAAATCAGAACAACAATGAGACACTACTTCACGCCCACTGAAGAGCTATAATCATGGCTTTTTAAAAACAAATTTATTTATTTACCTGAAAATCAGAGTCACAGTGAAATGGAGAGACAGAGAGGGAGGCCTTTCATTCACTGGTTCACTCCCCAAATGGCCACAGAGGCCAGAGTCGGGCCTGTATGAAGCCAAGAGCCAAGAGCTTCTTCCAGCTCTCCTATGTGAATGCAGGGATCCAATCACTTGGACCATCTTCCACTGCTTTCCCAGTCCCATTATCAGGGAGCTGGATCAGAAACTGGACTTGAACCATAGAAAGGGTTATGGTCCATAGTAGTGCTGGCCCTGATGACTTTTTAGCATAGTAACGACTCATCAGACTGTGAAGAGCTTAGAATCCCAACGAATATTGCAGGTCATGATGTAAAGTAGTAGTGCAGCTGCTGGGGGAGTTTGGCAGTTCCTCAGAAAGCTAGAGATAGAATTACTGCATAACCCAGCAACTCTACTGCTGGTATAAAGCCAAAAGAATTGGAAACTGAGACTCAGGCAGGTGTTCATATCCCAGGATTCATGTTAGTATTATTAATAAGAGCCAAGTTGGTGGATGGAACTCAAATGTCCAGCGACAGATAAATTTTCAGATAGATCCATGCTATGACCTGGAGCAACCTGGAAGACAAATGAAAGCCAGATACAAAGGACAACTAGTGTATGGCTGTGTTTGTCTGAAATCCACAATGTACAAATTCATAGAGGGAAAGTAAAGCAGAGTTCCCTGAGGCTGGGAAGAGGGTGTGGCTTATTCTGTTTGTGCCGCTGTAACAGAAAACCTACAACTTGGCAATTTACAAAGAACAGAAATTTGTTTCTCACAGTTCTGGAGACTGACAAGTCCAAGCTCAATGCACTGACAAATTTTAGTGTCTGGTAGGCCCAGTCTCCACTCC